CCACCAGGACTTCGAATGGATGTCTGAGTTGAACGAAAAGGAGCTTTGAATGGGAAAATGATGTATACCCGGCCTGGTAAACAATCACAGTTTGCGAACTTGAAAATGGTCATAGACATATATAGTAGATTTACCCATTGATAGCATGGTATTGTTCCATAGTTTTTTGTTTGTTTACCAGAGGGTAAATAGGAAATGTTCTCACCGGAGGGCACTTGAAATAGTCCAAGCCCTCCAATATTGAACGCCTGCCTTCCCCTAACCTTGGTTTAACAGGGGAAGCACTCACATAGTTGGAACTATTGGATGGGTGTCTTTAATATTAGGGGGATTATATTGAAGGCTACAGAGTGTCAGTAGTTTCAGAAAATGTTGGTAAACAAAAGAACGAAGAGACACAAGCGCTGATCCAAAGGAACCAATTTCATCAACCATTCAGATACAACCAACATCAACCAACAGAATTAAAGATGACCAGCGAGAATGGCCTGCGCGTCCAACCTCTGCATGCCTATATTTACAATTTACAGATCATAAAAAGCAACTCTGGTTGGTATACCAACCCCTCTGAAAAATGATGGAGTTAGTCATTTGGGATGATGACATTCCCAATATGATTGGAAAAATAATCCATTCATGTTCCAAACCACCAACCAGAAGTCTTTCCAGACGGTCTTTCCAGACTTTGGCCAGCCATGGCCAGCTTTGCCAGTCTATGAATCCAAAGTTCACCGGAGCCACGTTTGGACCCAAGAGCTGAGGCCTGAATGACTTGCCATCCCATACCGGCAGAGAACATCCCATTGAGTCCACCTTTACCAGAGTCCCTGATCAATGGATTGGAAGGGAAAAGTGACACCGGAAAGCCCCATATTATCATATTCTGCTTGGTGGTATACCGACCCATCTGAAAAATATGAAAGTCAGTTGGGATGATTATTCCCAATATATGAAAAAACATGTTCCAAACCACCAAGCAGTATTTATCTTCATGGGAAAATCTACGGTTTTCCGGTGTTCAGATTTTTCCAATACCCTCTGGTAATTTGTCACATAGCTATTGAAAATGGCCAAGTCGAAATAATTGATTTTCCCATTGATAGCATGGTGATTTCCCAGTTCGCTATGTAAACGTTTACCAGGCCGGGTAAACCAATCGACCTGATTATTATTAACCATCATTAACCATATAATAACCATATCATTATTAACCATATATATATATATTAATAGTATATTACCAACCAATGGTAGGTAGGTCAACCACCAACCTGAGCTTCCAGACTTGTCAATGGGATGCAGGGCCCACATTCTTTGGACTTTGATTCTGGAATGCTGCATACCTTGGCGAGAAATCCAGCAGCGCCAGCTATGCCAGCGATACAAATGGCCCTGGGGCCCGTCCTAAAAAATGGTGAATCAAATGGACCAGACCTACAATGTGGTGCCCCCCTTCGATAGCGTTCAGTTGGTGAACATAACTCAAATTAGACTAGGACTTATGGTAGATATAGCGAACTAGTTAATGGGATTATAAACCAACAAACATAACTGGGGGGGCACCACCTTGTAATGATCCCATCATTCCAACAACCGGAATCTAAGGAGCTCAAACATGCTGGAGAAGCATTTCACAGTCTGTGAATTGCAGGATTGAGACTTTGAGAAAACTTGAAACTCAACATCAACATCCCAATACGGAGTCGTAATGTGGTTAAACCCAAAATAAACCATCCCAAGAACTTTCTGTAAATATGGGTTTGGTAAAAAAAAACATCAAACGTGATCAAACAGAATCTTAAACATATGTGTTTTCCCTGCACTTTTTGTTTCTTCACTAAGATCTCTTTCCCAGACCGCTTAAGAGGATCCATATGGCGCCTCGTTCCTGGATCCAGGGAATGAAGGAACCGATGAAGACGGAGGTTTGGGTGCCATGCCTGGCGCGCATGGTGAGGCGTGGCGTAACCGATGACTTACTAAGTGACTTACAGCATGTGTAGTTTTTCATATGGGGATGGGTCAAAACCCTGGTACCTAGTGAACCCCAAAATAGCTGATAAATGGATGTTCATCCCACTAAAAATGTATCTATAGGTATTGACCCATACCCATATGGTTGGTGGTATATATATATATATATATATGCTAACATTTAACATCAACATACCCCAAATGTTAGCATATATACATATATATGCACCAGGCCCTGCCACCCCCCCCCTCCCCCCCCCATATGGGATGGGTCCCATATACTGGTCCCATATGAGATCTTCCCCTTCCCCCCCTGTGGTGTGGTGGGGGTGTGGCACTGTCCCCCTCCCCCCCCTGTGGTGTGGTGGATGGGTCCCATATACTGGTCCCATATGAGATCTTCCGCCTACCCCCCTGTGGTGTGGTGGGGGTGTGGCACTGTCCCCCTCCCCCCCCTGTGGTGTGGTGGATGGGTCCCATATACTGGTCCCATATGAGATCTTCCCCCTCCCCCCCCTGTGGTGTGGTGGGTGTGTGGCACTGTCCCCCTCCCCCCCCTGTGGTGTGGTGGGGGTGTGGTATGGTATGGTGGGTATGTATGGTGTGTATGGTCGGTCTGGTATGGCATGTTTGGAAAGTATGGTATGTTTGGTATGTATGGTAGGTATGGTATGTATGGCATGAGTGGTTGGTATTGTATGGATGGTAGGTATGGTATGTAAGTCTGTTGGATATGGTATGTTTGATATGACAGTATGTATGGTCTGTATGGTCTGTATGGTATGTATGGTTACTATGATGGGTATGGAATATGTCCTATCTAAGGTAGGTATGGTATGTATGGCATGTATGCTTGCTATTGTATGTATGCTATTGTATGTATGGTAGGTGTGGTAATTACATTTCATATGTATGGTATGTATGGTATGTATGATAGATATGATAGGTATGGTATGCATGGCATCATTGACATGTATCGTAGGTACGGTATATGTTCAACAGAGGTAGTGTTGTCAGAGTACACAGGTAGTAAACAGGAAGTAGATACAGTAGATACATAGCACATGTATGTATGACTATAGGTAGCACGTAGGTACTTTGAAGGAGTATGTGTGCTACGTATGTCGCCTAAAAGGTAGCATGTACCTAGTAAATGCGAGGCTGGTAGTCAGAAATGCTGCAAAGACCTAGCAAATACGACGCTGGACCTCAGAAATGCTGCCAATAGCTTGCAAATAGAAGGGAATTGGGGCTACTACCTGGGGACCCAACCCATGGGGGGGGGGGGTGGAGAGACGGAGGACGGGACCATATATATACACCATACATGGATCCTATGGGATATGCTTGGCCATGGAAAATCCCAACTTTTCACGGAATACTGGAATACATGATAATACATGTGGAGTGGAAAATATATGGGAAATCGCGTTGCTTTCTGGTCGAGTTTCACGTGGCTGGCAATGGAAAACCCAACACAATAAGAAAATATCAACGAACTAAACAGTTGATCTTCCAGCAAAACAGGTGATAAATTCCAGAACGGTTGGGGGTTTTACACGCGAGTTGTGGCAAGTTTCACAAAGGTTTAGGACAAACCAAACTGGAGAAAATAGTCAGACTTAGTGGCATGGAAATGGATACCCAAACAATCCCAAAATGGTAACTTGCAACCGGGAAAAACCAGGACTTCAGAAATGTGGGGCTACCTCCTATCAAGGAGGCTTGGGCAAAACAACATGGGCAGTGCCACCACCCTGGTCCGATTCTTGGCCACTGAACTGATACCTTTTCCAATCCCATCCCCCTACAATCCCCCTACAATTCCTACCACCCCTATGACTGGCCCCCCGGCAACTGAATAGATCCCATACTTAACCAGGGGTTCTGAGGATATCTCCCTGAGATGGACATCTTGGCTGTTGGAGACCCTCTGATAGCCATGGTTTTTGGTTTTTTGGATGAACCATGGCTAGTTCGATGATTAAAATCACGTAAAAAGGTAGCGTATGTGCACACGAAAGTCTGATGGCCCCCAATGAAGTGATGGTAATTCAATTGCTCCGGCATTGTCCATCTCAAATCACTATTGCAAAGGGTGACAAAGCTTCGATTCCCAGTAAAAAGTCAACGTTTAGCAGAAATGCATGAAGATTCCTTGAACAAAATCGCAAAACATCAAACCATTAAACAAAAGACAGCAGGGTTGTCCAACAGGGTTGTCCAAATGACCCTCTTGAAAATCAAATGATGAAACCAAATTCTGAGTCCCACAAACAAAACCAAACAAACAAATGATGGCAATCAGCTGGATTTCTCTTTCGCACACAGATCGGACTCCCCCTATTAACTATTGAGTTTTTGTTAGTTCGATCACCAAAGGGTGCTTTACAAAGATGAAGGCTTGGCTGGAGTGACAAGTTAACTGGATTTCCTCGAGATGAAACTCTATTTGCTGTAGTATTTTTGTTGAGTAAATTATGTTTTATTTGCATCCGATTGATATCAAAGAGAATAGTTTAGCCTGGTTTTCCTTTGTTTTGGGCCTTATTGAAATCAAATAAATTATGCGCTCCGGAGTGCGCAATTTATTTTAAACAATAGTCAAAACCATTGAATACCAGGCCACGCTATCAACTCAAATATATTTATACCTCATGGAATCCTCATGGAATCCATGAAACTTCCTGTATCTTTCGATTTGTTAAACAACAGTTAAACTAAATCACGCGCTCCACAGCGCGCAATTCATTCAAATAAAGTTCAAAGCCATTTAGTACCAGCTTAAACCATTGTGGACATGAAGCCTACTTTATTCAACAAACATATTAAAATAAATTACGCGCTCCGGAGCCAATCATTCACCATATCAAGTTCAAAGTCATATGGTACCAGCCTAAACTATTGTGTTGTTGCGCAATTCTTCTTCAAGGCGGAACGGCGCGAACCCCATTGTTGAGTGATTCTTCTAGAACAGGGATTGGCCGGGATTGGCCCGAACCCCACTGTTGAGTGATTCTTCTTGAACGGGGATTGACCCGAACCCCTGTGTTGAGTGATTCTTCTTGAACGGCGATTGGCCGAGCCCTACTATTGAAAGATATTGAAAGATTCTTCTTGAACGGGGATGGCCGAACCCCATTGTTTACTGGTTCTTCTTGAACGGGGATTGGCCCGAACCCCACTGTTGAGTGATTCTTCTTGAACGGGGATTGGCCCGAACCCCACTGTTGAGTGATTCTTCTTGAACGGGGATTGGCCCGAACCCCACTGTTGAGTGATTTTTCTTGAACGGCGATTGGCCGAACCCCACTGTTCAGTGCCGAACCCCGTTGTTGAGTGATTCCTTTTGAACGGGGATTGGCCCGAACCCCACTGTTGAGTGATTCTTCTTGAACGGGGATTGGCCCGAACCTCACTTTTGAGTGATTCTTCTTGAACGGCGATTGGCCGAACCCCACTTTTGAGTGATTCTTCTTGAACGGCGATTGGCCTGAACCCCACTGTTCAGTGATTCTTCTTGAACGGGGATTGGCCGAACCCCATTGTTGAGTGATACTTCTTGAACGGGGATTGGCCCGAACCCCACTGTTGAGTGATTCTTCTTGAACGGGGATTGGCCCGAACCCCACTGTTGAGTGATTCTTCTAGAACAGGGATTGGCCCGAACCCCACTGTTGAGTGATTCTTCTTGAACGGGGATTGGCCCGAACCCCACTGTTGAGTGATTCTTCTTGAACGGCGATTGGCCGAAACCCCACTGTTGAGTGATTCTTCTTGAACGGTGATTGGCCGAACCCCACTGTTGAGTGATTCTTCTTGAACGGGGATTGGCCCGAACCCCACTGTTGAGTGATTCTTCTTGAACGGGGATTGGCCCGAACCCCACTGTTGAGTGATTCTTCTTGAACGGGCATCCTAGGCAATGAGTGAGATCTACTCAATTAGGTAGTAGGGAAAAACCTAACCCCCTTGTTGAGTGATTCGCGTTGAACGGGTCAACAAGGGAGTGAGGAAAAACCTAACTCCCTTGTTGAGTAATTCTTGTTGAATAGGTGACATCAATTGGAACACAAAGGGCCCAACAAGGGAGTGAGATAAAACGTAACTACCCTCTTGAGTGATTCAACGTGAATCACTCAACAAGGGAGTTAGGTTTTTCCTAACTCCCTTATTGAGTGGATTTGTGTTTTGCCAAGATTCCACCGCCAATCGAAGCTGATGGCTGATCCAATCCAGCTGCGGAATCATGTGGGGACAATTCCTCCCCTAAATGCAAAACATCACCATCAGCGCCAAACAGGCAATAGAAGGGAGTGGAGATGGAAGAAAATGGCGAGTCCATGTAACCACACTTAATCGTGACATTATAGTGTCTCCATTTCCCACCAACAAAAAATGATAAACAATTTGAAAAAACATACTTAGACAAGTAGATTACTGCTTCCATAAAAGTGAGCATGTACATGCCCACAGTAATGGTAGCATCAAGCTGCGGAATGAATCTGAACATATCTGAGCCCAAGGGCCCCAACAAAGATGTTGGTATATGGAGTCCGTAGCCTGATGTTAAATGGTTTTGAATGCCATTTAAAGTAAATACACCTTCAGTATTTGAATGTGTTGAACAAAGTACGTTTCATTTAGTTACATGGGATCAACATGCGAGACAATAGTTTAGGCTTGTAATAAACGGCATTGAACTCGATTTGAACAAATTACGCGCTCCGGAGCGCGTAATGATTACGCGCTCCGGAGCGCGTAATTGACTTTAGTATTTAAATGTATTGAATAAAGTACATGTTTCTCACATTGGGTCCAATAATATAGGCCCTATAGGCTGGTACTAAATGGCTTTGAACTTTATTTGAACAAATTACGCGCTCCGGAGCGCGTAATTATTGCGTGCTCCGGAGCGCGTAATTGACTTCAGTATTTACATGTATTGAACAAATAGTACATTTTTCTTACAGTGGGTCAATATACGAAACAATACTATAGGCTGGTACTAAATGGCTTTGAACAAATTACGCGCTCAGGAGCGCGTAATCCACTTCAGTAGTTACATGTGTTGAAAAAAGTGCGTTTCATTTAATTGCATGGGATCAGCATACGAGACAATAGCTTAGGCTGGCACTAAATGGCTTTGAACTTTATTTGAATGGATTACGCGCTCCGGAGCGCGTCATTATTACGCGCTCCGGAGCGCGTATTGACTTCAGTATTTACATGTGTTGAAGAAAGTACGTTTCATCTAATTACATGGGATCACCAATACGAGTCAGTAGTCTAGGCTGGTACTAAATGGCTTTGAACTTTGTTTGAGTGGATTACGCGCTCCGGAGCGCGTCATTATTACGCGCTCCGGAGCGCGTATTGACTTCAGTATTTACATGTGTTGAAGAAAGTACGTTTCATCTAATTACATGGGATCACCAATACGAGTCAGTAGTCTAGGCTGGTACTAAATGGCTTTGAACTTTGTTTGAGTGGATTACGCGCTCCGGAGCGCGTAATTATTACGCGCTCCGGAGCGCGTAATTGACTTCAGTATTATTTACATTTGTTGAAGAAAGTGCGTTTCATTTAATTACATGGGATCACCATACGAGACAATATAGTTTAGGCTGCTACTAAATGGCTTTGATCTTGATTTGAATGGATTACGCGCTCCGGAGCGCGTCATTATTACGCGCTCCGGAGCGCGTAATTGACTTCAGTAGTTACATGTGTTGAAAAAAGTGCGTTTCATTACATTTAAATACATGGGATCAGCATACGAGACAATAGCTTAGGCTGGTACTAAATGGCTTTGAACTTTATTTGAATGGATTATACGCGCTCCGGAGCGCGTCATTGTTACGCGCTCCGGAGCGCGTCATTATTACGCGCTCTGGAGCGCGTAATTGACTTCACTATTTAATTTGTTGAAAAAAGTGCGTTTCATTGGGTCACTATACAAGACAATAGTTTAGGCTGCTACAGAACAATTGAGCCAAATTCCAACAGTTAAAAGTGATTTTCTGAATGATATCAAATGGAGCTTTTGGACGACCCTGTCCAATATAATCAAATTCACAATTTGAGATGGTTGAACATGTCAATGTGACCTTTGTTTTGTAACTTTTGCCCTGACATCGTGCTAAATGTACCAAAGCTGATCTTGGACTCTGGAGCTGTCACCACCATGGCCCGGATCGCCCCTATGTATATATATATATGTATAATACATGTGTATATATATATATATGTATAAATATATGTATAAATATGTATATATATATGTATTATGTATATAATATGGTCAATTCACGAGCGTTTTTTCCGCTAAAACATCAACCCCCAGTACCAGCTGCGGCGACTAAGAACCAGGTTCGGAACCCCGCCTGGCGTCAACCACCTGGTGTACGGATGTCAACGTTTAGGTGCTTTGGGGGATCTAATTACATCTAATTATCCTCTGGTTATTTAACATAGCCATGGTATAGATGGCCCATAGAAATAGATGGTTTACCTAGCTATAAAATGCTGGATCTTTCCATGGCTATATGTTAAATAACCAGATGGTATAGTTGGTATGACAGGTTTGAATTTCTGAGTAGGTAACTATACTAAGTATTAGTTGGTATAGTTAGAACTGTGAACCACTCCAATAGTTTAGGTGGTATAATAGTTCTGGGTGATATCATATAGTTCTATGTTGGTATTATTGGATCTAATTATTATCCAATACCGGAATCTCAGATACTACCCTGGATCACTGGTTGCGTATGGTTAGGTAATATTATGGATTATATTTTGAGGCGAATAGCATAGTTCTTGGATGTGAACATAACCCCCATACTGGAACGGAATGGGATTGGATGAATCCCCAGGAATGGTCGGAACGCTACATGCATGCAAATGCTACATACGTTCTTTGGACATCTTAGTTGCATTCTGTGACAATTCTATATATTCAAATTCTAACAAAGAATCTGTAACAAACCACTGTGTCCTTTGCAATGTGTCAAAGGGAAAAAACACAGGTTGAAAGCCATAAGTTGTGGAGTAAAAATGTCGTGCTAGAGACCAAACTAGCGGTTTCCCACGTGAAAAAAAGATCAGTTGGGAGGATGATTTGGGGGTCCAAAAAATCATCGAAGTGGGTTCAAAGCATCTAGTCACTGAACTATGTTTTGGATATACCCAAAATATTCCAACATCAATTTTGGGGGAACTCTTGGTAGTTTGGCTGGGCTACTTCATTTTTTTCTTCCAAAACGAAGCCATCCAGAAACAATTCACTATCGATCCATATGCGCCATGTCCGACAGCACTTCAGAAGTGACTCCCTGGCTCTGTTTAACCACCCTTGGAGCCCTACAAATTACACGAATGTACCAGATACAAACAATAGTAGCTTTGGAACAATAACACATGAGTTCAGACATGATCGCAGCTGCAGCAGGAGGACCTTCTATATAGATCTATATAGAGGAGCTCACTAAATCCCATTAAGTCTCATTAAATCCCATCAAATCCCATTATGTAAATCCCATTAAATCCCATCAAATCCCATTATGTACATCCCATTATGTAAATCCCATTAAATCCCAAAAAAAAACATGAAATCTAATGAAAACTCCCATTAATTTCTTATTTGTTGCTGGTTAAGCCTCCATTTCCACTGAAACTTGTCCGGCCATCCCCAGATCCCACGGCACATAGGCAGGTCGATAGGTTCCGGGATCCGTCTCGTCCGCCTTGTGTCGCGGCCTCGGCGCGAAGACAGGAGCGGAAAAGGGTGAAAGGTCCGGTCCCTGAAAGCTTCAAGGAGATTGAGAGTGTTATAACATGTTATAACCATATCTTATATACATATATATATATAGTTATTAATATGTATGTATATATATATATACATATGTGTAACTGATCTTAAATGTATGTGTATATATATAATATATATACATATATATATAGGTCATCTAATCTTCGTGTAATCACATCTATATGTGGGGTATAAGTAGATCCAATCAACCTTAACAAGATCGAGATTCTGATTTTCAGCCATCAGAAACAGCATGTATAACATCTTACGGGATATTATGAAGTAATGGAATGTATCAGCAACAACATGTGATTTGGGCGTGTCTAAAAATGGAGGATAGGCCCCAGAGTAAGGGCCACTTTAAAGTGGGTAGATGAGAATCCCTTGGATTTAGGAAGCAACCTCTGCCAGTGAATTGATGATTCATTGATGGTTCAGTGATTAAATGTGATTACCCATAGGATCCATGGTGCTGCTATGTATGGTAACATTTAACATCAACATACCCCAAATGTTATCATATATACCATACATGGATCCTATGGGTCAATCTTAACCATGTGATTAAGGAATTGTTGCGATTCACCTTTTGATTATTTGTTTATTGTTAAATTCAACGATATATGTTCAACAACTGGAGGCTGAATAACAAGTCGTTTTGGCCACAAGACATGAAAGTCAACTGAGATCTTTCTCACAGGCTCCAGGTGTCCCGGTCATCTCAAAGAAAAATTGTGCAATTCCATGATATTTAGGCCCTTGTGTATATCCACATATTGGAAACGAGCCTTGATCTGACCACGTTCGAGGAAATGAAGAACTTGCTCAAAATGCTCCACTCCACGCGGATCAGCTGACCAACATTCAAGCATGCTGGATGGGGCAATGACAGCCTGCTTGATGCTGTGTGCCGGTCGCAGGCGGAAGCTCCGGGAGCAGTCGAGCAGTCGCTGTGCCGGGGATGTGAAAACCGTCCATCAAAAACATCCTGAGGGAACAACACATAGCCAGTGCCAGCAGCTGTTCCCAGAGCTCTGTGACAGGCGAAAGATGTGGCCTTCCGTACTTGAGATAGATAGCGGGGCGAGGACGTCTTTTTCTAAAACGCCCCAGGGAACCAGTGATCGAGAAACGAATTACTGGGAATCCCAAGATTTGGGCAACTGATGAAGTTTCGAACTAGTTCCCTATGCGAACCATGGTGCTGGAATATTTACTAACATTTACCGTATAAATGACCCAAATGTAGGTATATACCATACATGGAACATATGGGGTTGTCTAGAATGTTCTTTTTAAAATCAAATCACTTTAACCAAAGTCATACGATGGTGGCAGGAGTATCCCTCGGCGGTCAGTATATTCCAGCCATGGACCGTGCCACTGGCCGAGGTCAAAGGTTGGGTATAGGGTCCACAAAAATATGCTGCAATGAATAAGTCTTAATAATCATATGATAATTAGCAACAATTAATCTATTCACATCTATTCACACATATTAAAAAAAATATATATATATATTAAAATCTATTAAAAAAACTATTAACATCTATCAACATCTATTAACATCTACTAACTACTAACATCTATTAACATCTATTAACAATTAACATGACCAACATCTGTGGTAGCCTGGGTCAATCTTCAGCTCCCCACATGGGCCTTGCCTACGTCATTTCACTGCCCAAGGGAATAGGACCCGCACAACATGCCCGTGGGTAGGACCCGCTCATAGAAGTCCTGGCGTGCCATGAGGTTTTCGAAATGGGACTGTGATGGGAACTTGGGAATCAGCAGGAATCAAGCAAATTTATGATGATTTATGATCATCATGATGGCTGAAGATGATTATTTTATGAAACTCAAGGGATTTTGGACATATCATGCCTGGTTGGTGGTTTCAACCAACCCCTCTTGTCTTCGTCAGTTGGGATGATGATTCTTCCCAATATGATGGGAACAAATGTAATATTCCCAATATCACCCCATATTCAACCACCAGAAGATCCTCCAATCCTTGCTGCTTCATCCATATGGAAAGTTATAAAATTCATGTTTTCCACAATTCCAACCCACCAGCCAGATGTCAAGGGACATCCCGGGACGATCCAGCCACGACTATGTCTTGCTATGGCTGTCTGGTGCTGCGTTTTAACCATGAAAAATATGAGTTAGTGAAAGTCAATGGGGTTGGGATGACATCCCATATATGGAAAATAAAAAATGTAATCAAAATGTTCCAAACCACCAACCAGCTGTATACTATGATCCATCTTTTCACCATGGCACATATCAGATCAAATAAATACTCCATCAAATCTCGATTTGCAAAGTACCACACAGCTTGGTACTATATGCACACACACAAACACATACAAGGAACTTGTTTTAAAGACAAAACTACACTAAATCTCAATGGCTCACGTACCTTATATCGAAATTAGCAAAACAGCAACATTGAAGCCATAAAACATTCCTCCAATCATTCATTGATTATCAATCCTTTTGCCATTCCTCTAGTTGTTTATTTGCCTGGAGCTGTCCTATCACATTTACGTGCCAATTGACTGCTTCCTGAACTCAACCTGTGTCTTCGAAATATCTTTAAGGACAAGCAAACATCATTCTGAATTGTGGCAAGCGGTTTTCCCGAAATATGGCTGGCTCGCCGATGGGAATTCATCCCAAAACTATGAACCGCGATGAACAACACTGGTTGGTGGTATACCTACCCCTCTGAAAAATATGAAAGGTAGTTGGGATGATTATTCCCAATATATGGAAAGTCATAAAATTCATGTTCCAAACCACCAACCAGAACAGCTCAACAGCCAGGACAGCCAGAGTGGATTTCCCTCACCCAGGCCCCAAACACCAGTCCTTGGGGTACTCCATGAAGTGAAAGCCTTGTTCCGCCCTGTCGGCACAGCAGCGGCTGAGAAACTCTTGGGGTTGGGCTATGGTTCAACACGGGGTGCCCACGAAGAAGAATCAATTCATGGCTACTTTCCACATCTTTCCACTACATTGACCCTGTGCGTTGGACGTCGTAGACCTATTTTGAATAGGTCTTTGGAAAAAGGCCCAAATAGAATCCTGGGATCCAAGTAAGGGTGTTGCAGCAGGGATGCACAGCCAAGAGACATATCATTTTATTCATTATTTCTACAACTTCTTGAAGAAAGCAATCAAAAATAATAAAGATTTTAACTTTGGTGCACAATTTATGCACAATTTCAGACCTGACCGTGGACAAACGGTGGACAAACCGTGGAAAGACCTACCGAGAGCATGGAACGACCTATTTAGAGTGTGGAACGACATATCTAGAGCGTGGACAGGGGTACCAGAATGTTCAACAAATTTCATTTTTCCCCACCTGCCAGGTGAGGGTTGTTAGATTTTATGTCAGTTGCCTCCTCCTCCTGCCTCGTCCTCCTCTCCTCCTCCTCCTCGTCCTCCTCTCCTCCTCGTCCTCCTCGTCCTCCTTGTCATCCTTGTCGTCCTTGTCGTCCTCGTCGTCCTCGTCGTCCTCGTCGTCCTCGTCCAACTGCGACCCGCGATCCACAGTGTTCTCTGCCGGCCCTCAACCACGACCATCCACGCCCAGTGTTCCCTGCCGGACCTCAACCACGACCAGCCACGCCCAGTGTTCCCTGCCGGACCTCAACCACGACCAGCCACGCCCAGTGTTCCCTGCCGGACCTCATCTGCGAGTATCCATGCCAAGTGTTCCCTGCCGGACCTCATGTAGGAAGATAAAATGTCAGATAGAGTGCCAGAAGATTTGCCAGGTAGAATGCCAGAAAATATGCCAGAAGATATGCCAGATAGATATGCCAGAAGATATTCCAGAAGATATGCCAGAAGATATGCCAGATAGATATGCCAGAAGATATTCCAGAAGATATGCCAGATAGAATGCCAGATATGCCAGATCCAGAAGATATATTATGCCAGAAGATATGCCAGATAGAATGCCATAAGATATGTTGTCAGATAGAATGCCAGAAGATATGCCAGATAGAATGCCAGAAGATTTGCCAGATAGAATGCCAGAAGATATGCCAGATCATATGCCAGAAGATATGCCAGATAGAATGCCAAATAGAATGTCAGAAGATATGTCAGATAGAATGCCAGAAGATTTGCCAGTAAGAAAATGTATAAATGTCATGGTGGGGATCACACGAAGTAAAGTAATTTCCGCTACAGCAAAGTTTTGGATACCCCCCGACAACAATTGGCTTTCAATCTGGATACTCGTGATGGCACAAGCAGTCAAACACATACAGTATTAAGATGTATTAAGGCTAGTATATCCTTGGTCCTTATTCAGGTCTTTTGTTGCTTTAAAAAGGTCTTAGGTAAAGACCTGTTCCGAATCTTCCAGATGAGAATTTGACTTACAGTAGAGGGTTGACATTAGCAAGTAAATTTATCATCGGCATATTCACTCAGCCCCAACTTCTACCGGAAAGACGTCCACTCGTCTTTCGTTGTTAGGAAATGAAAGAATTGACGATTTCAATCCCAGAAGTGTGCAATCTTTCACTCTGGGAGTGACCAACGATCAGTCCTGGGAGAAATCCTGCAATCCTGGGTTGAAAATGTCAATCCTGAGAGTCCTGGGGTTGAAAAAAATCAATCCCGACAATAGACGTGGCTCAAGAAAGAAACAGCGACATGTATAAAGTTTAGTTTATATTAATAAGCAGCCCGAATAAACAACGCCCACATTCTAAAACATGTTTGGCAATACTACTTTGGGTTGGTCCCTCGCTATTAATATATATATATATATATACGTATATATATATATTATTAATAAACATGAACCCCTATGAAACAACACCCTGCTAAGAAATCCTAACTTTGTGGTAGTCAGGATATAATGACAGTATGTGTTAATTGTTTCAATTGTTTTTTATTGAAGAAACAATGTTTTGAAGGGATGTCCCACGCCCAATCTCACCATCCAACTCCCCTTAGAAGGTAAGAATCCCCCAATTCAACATTTTTTGGGCTTGTCAGGCTTGTCATATAAAAAACAACCTGCCTGCCAATGGGGAACCAGAATTCTGCGTCGATGCTGAATTTGCTGTTGAGGTCAGCCGGCGGATGACCCAAATGGGTACTTGATGACATCCTTGAGACCTCGTCGCCCTCTGCGTCCACTGGCGTGTCAAACGCAAGGGCGGACCACGCTGTGGCCATTTGGATGCCTCCTCCGCATCCCTCGGCACCATCAAAGACCTTCCGACACCTTTCTCAATGACCAAAATTCGAGTGAAATGAATCACTACCCATTTGGTCAAATATGTTTTTTTAATGTTTTTTTATGGTTTTATTAGGGAAAGACCATATTGAACCCATACTAGAGACCACGCTTCTTATTTGGTCAAATCACTTCAATCACCATTGAAACAATGGCGAATTCCCCAGGAATCACCTCCATTTTTCCGCCCGGATCCAAGCACCCCACCACGAGATGGCGCCCGGAGAGAAGCTGGTGCCTTCCAGGTGGGAATAAGATGGGATCTAATGGTGATTTAATGCAGATTATGTCATGGATTATTATGGTCTATACGGGATTAATATGGGATTATATGGTGATATCACACAGATGGGTGTATTTAATGGTGATCTAATGGTGATTCGATGGTGATTCACAGGAATTTTCATGGGATTTCATGGGATTTCATGGGAAGATGATGGGATTTCATGAAGCCATACCCTAAGGTGGGTAAGTTCAATGATCATTCACGATCCCCAAATTTGTACCCTCGGGGACGATTTTCCCGAACAGTCACCATACTTCTGAAGGCACGAATGGATGCACAGGGATCGAGGCCTAGAAACCACTTACATGTGGAATATGTCGTAGCATTTTGTTGGTCAAATCATTTGTTGTCCTCATGTTTCACATTTTTTTACGCTTAGACAACTTGGATTTACTTAAAGAACATCTTCCCAAAGAAAGACAAATATCCCTAATCAACTGTAGTTATAATGAACCAGAGTTCATCCGCTTGTGTGTGTCAACATCTATCATAAATCAGCTATAAAAATCTGAGCAATCCCTATATTGGTGAATGGGTTCAGACCCTATGTCAACAAAATCAACTAGTGACTTGACCAGTTCGATTCTGAAGAGCCATGGCACAAAAAAACCTTCTTATAGAAGATGAAAAAAACGATCATCAACTTGCTATCGTAAATCAGCTAATCCCGTGAGGAAATCCTGTGAAAAATCACCATTTTTCTGCCATAACTCCCGATCGGATCCGATCCGATGCGCCTCCGAAGTTGGTGGCCATGACACTCACGGGCTCCGCCACCACATAGCGCCGCGGGTCCTCGTTGACCTCGATGCGAGGGAAAAGGTGGTGGCTTTAATATCGATTCAATATAGGTTTAATACGAACTGTTTAGATGTTTTTGTCCATATGTTTCAAGTTTCAATTATTTTCAATATGTTTTTATCTGTTGAAGTTTTTATACAAATTTCCTCAAGTGTTGGACCCTAAAACCATGATTGGTTTGATATGAGCTGCTGAATAGTCTAGTATTGGGAGATTTCGGGGTAGTTTTAATACGATCATAACAGAATTTAGAATTTGGAGATGATTACCCATTTTAAGAGAAACCTCAATGTATGGAGATATCATATCCTTATAAATATAAATCATGCTTAGACCTGTATTTGATGCATCTTCCATCAGGTCTGCCATACCTGAGAACCTGGGTGATTTTGTTGGCAACATGTAGCCTCTGGTAAACGTTTACATATAGAAAAACACCATTTTGAAGAGGTAAATCAACGAACTCAATGGGCTATTTTCAATAGCAAACTGTAACAACATAACCAGAGGGTAAGTAAATCTATATGGATGACCTGGGGGCACTCTGGAGATTTGGCGGGTTTTCTGCTGGAGATTTGGCGGAAGGGCCCAGTCCATGAACATATGCATACCCGGCCTGGGAATTTGTTACTTGTAGCTATTGAACATGGCCCATTTAATTCGTGGATTTTCCCATTAAAAAGGGTGATTTTCCCATGGCGAACTGTTAGTCATAACCAGATGGTAATCCACTACACCATTGACTCCCTGGAACCGGCCTCATATATATCCACCGTTTCTCATGTCCAAAACGCCTTTGGGAATGAGTCATATGTATCATATATAAAGATTCTATATCAAACCTTAACATACCCCTTGAGAATAAAAGGCTAATTGACCTCCGCACGCCAGAAGTGTCAACTAGATTTCGTGGCTCACATGGGTGTGTCTCAAAATAGCGAATTGCATGGACTAGCAAAATCATTGACCCATCATTATAACCATAATCATGTTCGAACAGATGATCAAAACCACATGATATGGCAGTGTGTCAAAACCTTGTACCCCTGGTGAACATCAAAATAGCTGGTAAATTGATGTTCATCCCACTAAAAATCTATCTATAGGTATTGACCCATACCCATATTTCTCCCAAGTTTTTGGGCGCTCTCTCTGTAAAAATCGCCTTCGACAAGAACCCACCAAACCCACCGTCCGTGCAGTCGGTGCAGGCCGAGGAACCCAAAAACCCACCAGTTCTTTGATCTTCATGACCCTGCGATGCAGCCAACGTCAGATGGTTTTTTTTTAATCATCCAGGAGATCAGGATACAGGATGAACCAGTTCGTTAACGTTCAGTGGCCGAATATTTCAGTGGCTAAATTCGATGGTTTTATGGTAGATATATGTAATTATAATCTATTTATAGTTATATAACTATAAACCCCATTATATAATTATAGTCTATCAGTCTATGTATATAATAAAAGTTATATTTATAGTTATAGTCATGGGGTTTATAAACCAACTTGATAACTTGTAACTGGGGGGCACCATCCCGCAGCAAGTAAGATATCGTCAAGACCCCCTCCAAAGATCATGTGGGTTAATATCAGATCTCTTCATTTTCCCAAGGAGGTGGGCTTTGTTGATGCATCATCCCAAGATGGAGAACACACCGAAACCACCAAGCAAATCAACCAATGTTCATTGCTTACATACCCATCAATTCCCACTGTTAGATGCTTGAATCGCTGAAAGATCTAAAATGATCTGAATATCTAAGCGACCCCCATGTTTTTCCTCTCTTTTGGTCGTGCGATCAGATCGACGACCTTGGGACCCCCGAAATGAAACTCCAAGCTTCGGAGCAGCTGATCCGCTGGGGGATCATCTCTGGTGGTTGAGCCACCTACCCCTCTGAACAATGATGGAGTGAAAGTAGTCAGTTGGGATGATGAAAATTGATGAAATTCCCAATATGATGGGAAAGTCATAAAATTCATTATCAAATATTAGTCAATGGGAGGGATTATCCCATATTATGGAAACAAATTATCCAAATGTTCCAAAGCACCAACCAGTTCACCTACGAACTCCAGGATCAACAAGTCATGTCACGCGCCCTGTCCCCGGCCCTGCGGCGAACTTCCGCGCCTGTCGTTGGTTGGGTCACCCACGAAACCCAGGAGTTTCAGGATACACTGGACATCCAATCTGGGGCCAGGAGGTCACCCAGGAGGTTCAGTGGGGGATTTGCACATAGATCATCTAGGGGATGTGCAACAAAATCCGGGAATGGGATTATCTAATATATTATATACTGTTTAATTAACTTAATTAGCTTAGCTAGTTGATTTAATATTGGAGGAATGGGCTTATCTAATAACATATATACTGTTTAATTAGCTGGTTGAAACAGCTGGTTGAAACATGTCAAAATATGAGTCACCAAAAACTCGACCAACTTAGGCTCAAAAGATCATTGTCAGACTGCAAATGATTTCTATCTAGCCTACAGCACCATTGATTACTAATTGATATGTCGGTTTCCGAAGTCATGGGGGCACCCCATGTATCATCCATACTGTGGATGGTTGCGAAATCCTGCACCAACTGAAAATAGGTTTATCCCATTGTTCATAGGCTTTCAACCATCCAAGATGGTGGTTTATCGGATTTCTTAACCATCCACAGTAGGACTGATATCTGAACTTCTGGAGGGGAACTCAACATATCTCAACATGGCTATATCCATGAAAGTAGTCAAGATTTCTTCCACCGTATCTTGAGGATGTTCCATAAACCATCCATGGCACGTCGGACGGCCTGCAATACGTCCTACGCTCAGCAAGACCCCCGGCTGTAGGCAACAAAAGTTTGTGGTGACTCCACATCCTCATGGCAAGCCTAAGATAAGTTCAAATAGATATCAGATATCACTGATTCACATTGGAGATGTTTTTTTCTTGACTGAACAAGCAACCTTAGGTACTCCTCAAAAAAAACATCAGCCAGCCATATTTTCCAGAGGTTTTCTCAGTTGAGTCTACGTAGTCTAACTGGGGGATAGCTCGGTCACTGACTTCCACGCCAGAAAAAATAGACCATGATGCCATGGATTCTAGGTATCCACACAATTTGGGGTTGTGAAGCACACTTCACCACTACTCTGACATAATCCATCTATGGGAGCTCCACCTATCCATGGGTAATTGTTGTCTTAATTCGTAAAATATCATGTGGATTACCCAACTTGCGGGGAGAACATTGATCACATAGACACTTTGATTGAATTGACATGATCTACGCAAAACAAAAAATATTGTCACATAGGACCGTAGGATAATTATATTATTATAAACATCCATAACTACCAGCGTGAAACATTCAACGCCGACCCGCCAAATTCACAAAGTGAAACGCCAAGGCACTTGCGGCCACTTCCACCTGGAGGTGAAGGTTTTCACTTTTCCCATTATAGTTTCTGTATCAAACATGGCTTCTTCCCAACCTTTTTTGATGGGATAGTTTCATGATGAACCTAAGGTCAATGCTTTCCGCGACAACGAACAAATGTGGAAAGATGTGGATAGCATATGGATTTCATCATAATGTTAAAGAAGTCTCCATAAGATGTTCCCATTCCCACAAGTGTCCTCAAGTTTTCAACGCTTCATCAACTCGGGGGTGTTATCTCTGGTAGGGATGAACGGACAAAAAAACACACACACACCCTTGAAGCCAACAACCAGGGAATTGAGGGGTTGCGTCCATGTGGTGATCGTTTAGAAGTCCAGAATTATCCGACTTGAAACAATCCAGTGATGTTTTTGTTGCAACCCAAACGATTATGAATTCCCAGCAAGAAGGATGCGAAAAAAAACTCTGGCTGAGATTGAACATTTCACCCTGAAGGAACAAAAATGTGCGGTTGTTCCCTTTACCAAGCATGCTGTGGCTTCTTCTCGCGGTGATCTCGCGTTGAGGACGTGATCTGCAAATAGGCTACCCGATTCTGACCGTTGGAAAATGCTGATCGTCTATATTAAACCTGCCATTCTATGGGTATTATATATATATATGATTATGTATATGTATATATAATACTGGTTGGTGGTTTCAACCCCTCTGAAAATATTAGTCAACGGGAAGGATTATCCCATATACTATGTGTTTTTTTGGAAACCACCAACCAGTTAACTATGATAAATGGGGTATGGTCATCCATTCCATAGTGGAAATCCTTCTATTTGTCTACCTATCTATGATTATGTATGTATGTATATATATATATGTAGTATATATATATATGTAGTATATATATAATATATATAATATAAACAGAAATTTCCGACCCGTCTCACCCTACTTTCCGCGCCTAAATACAGGGCGTGGTGTCCCAAACGCTTCACTCTCTCAGGGTCTTCGATCACTTCCTCGTTTGCGTTTTTCGGTCCCAGGAATGCATGGTGGTTTCCCGTATATATCTAATGGGTGTACAATGTACTGTTCAGGATATACATATGCAATTATCTATAGATATATATATATATATATATATATACATCACATATATATATATATTATGCCATCAATGAATGTAAATGAAAGATTTTCTTAATAAGTTAATATATCTTTCACTCTGTATGTCACGTTTGCGGCTTTTATTGCACCATGCTGGGTTTTCATGGCTTGTCCATGAAAGTCCAGGAAGGCCAGGTCTATGTGGGGGTTTCCATAGTCATGGGGGTACCCAAAAAAATAGCTGCTGGGTGGTTTATCTCATGGAAAATCTGGAGAATCCGATGAAAATGGAGAACTGGGGGTACCCCCATTTCAGGAAACCTCCGTTTATATGTTTAACTATGTTTAACTTATGCCCATGGAGTACTTCCCCAAACAAATATTTCGTTTGGTGATCATTACCCTATCTGGGAAAATCCTAATCATGCAACACTCACCAGCCTGATAAACCAAAAACACAAGAACAAACTCATATTAGGAATCGGGATGACTCCCACTAGGAGTTGGGATGGCTCCTCCTACTAACCATCACTTTTTACCGTCGTGACAGATGAGGTCGTCATTTTAATCGCCTACCAAGGTTTTCTTGTCTGATGGGCCCATCAAGGTTTCGTGAACACCCATCTTAGCATATCTTAGCTACACATGAAACACAATGGTTAGTAATTATTATCCATGTACCATGTATAGTGACAAGAAAACAGTTTTATCGACTATCTATCCCAGGTTTTTTTTTTACTTAGTGAAATGGGGGATCCCACAACCAGTGTTATCCCATGCAGTACATCATTAGCCAACATTTTTTTTTAACAAAATGTAATTGGCAAATAAGAAGGACAGCACGGAGGACATCAAGCAAGATAAGTATGGCTTTGGGTCCCAAGGTCTAGATCAAAACTATAAAGATCATTGTTCCTCTAGTAGTTACCAGCAGCGCGTAAATCTCAACCTTGACCCTCTCAAATTCTAGGTGCTAAACATGGTTCATCAATCATTTGGGACATGTCAAAAGCACATATCGGCATTCAAACAGCAACAGTAAGGAAGTCAAGTGGCAAATACATGGATAACCATCAGGAATAGGATAGATCAAGTTTAACCATGTTGAACCAATAGAAGAAAAAATGGACATCAACCAAGATGGGTCAATATTCTATAGATTTTAAGGGGGTCAAACCAGAAGATGCGTCGCCGGGATTTTCTCAAAGGCACCTAAAGGTAGTTGAACTCCTGTTCGAGGCTGTACGAGTAGTGACCAGGGCGTCTATAGCAGTCTTCTCTATAGCCCCAGCTCACGACTTGTCCATCTGCCAAAATGGCAGTGAAAGCACAATCACGTACATCTGGCCAGTCATCTGTGCCACAGATCTACACAACATTTTGCAGCTGATCTTGGACTCTGGAGCTGCCACCACCATCACGTCCATCGCCCCATGTCACCATGCTTCCATCTGCCAAAATGGCAGCTGTGGCACAGCCTGCAAAAGGTCAAAAGGTAGAAGCGCTTCTGGTTGATTCTTCGAAAGTTGAACTACCAAACTATCGAACATGTTCGGCACCTTTCTCCTTCAATGATCAGAGGGACCCACCTCTTCGCACCCACGCCGCTCTCCAGCCCGAACAAAGTAGGCAAACTTTGAAAGCACACTTTGTGCCACAGATCTGCTGGACATTCTTCTGGAGCTGTCGCCACCATAGTGTGGATCGCCCCAGGTCAACACGCTTCCATCTGCCAGAATTGCAGCAAAAGCTCGGGCTGTGCCAGAAATATGCTGCACATTCTTCAGGTGATCTTGGACACTGGAACTATCTTGGGCGCTGAATATGTCGAGCGCCCCATG